AAAAACATTTTATATTTATAAGGTTCTATTTAATTTAAATGGCTGGGAGAGATTTAAATAAGCACGGAACTCAAGAGGATAAAACTGGTGGAGCACAGACCCCCTGTGGCCACCCCCACTTGTTGTGCCCCTGGTGATTGACAGGTGATGTTCCATGTGAAATGACGAGCTGGAGCACTGCACATCTCTGTTAGATCTAGCTGGGACAAGACTTTTCAAATTTGTCTTCTGAGTTATTAGTAAGCACAGAACTGATTTGTTGTCATATGCTGAGCTTTATGGGAGAAGTTTTCTGATGGAAGCCGCTCGGCCACGTTAGAGCCGCTGCACTGCGCATCTCTCTGCTGGATGTCAGAGACAAATGAAGATTTAATTTATGTGGCACCAATAGGCASAAGGCATTTCTTATGTTGTAAATGTTTAGTTTATAATAAGCGCCACTGTTTGTTTTAGCAGCCCGCCCGGGGTTATTGGGACTAGTTTATCTGATCTCCGCTCTTCATTGTCAGCTCAGGTGGCGCCCTGCAGCCCAGGCCTGTAGCTCAAATCAGCTGTGCGGTATGATCGGCCTGACTGGTRCTGAGGAGAGGAAGAAGTCATTTGAAATGGCATCGTTTACAACACAATGAATCCAGAAAAACATCAGCGCCCCAGAACCTGTCGCTCCTTGATGTCGCGCTCGCCCTGTGCAAATGAACTGCGTGCGTCAGGCTGGTGGTTCACTCCAGGTTCACTTCAGGTTCACTTCAGCCTGTGGGCCAGTTCACAGATTGTTCTCGGACCTGCGTCTGGGCCAGCGGTACAGCTCGTGGCGGGCCAGTGGTTCAGGGGCTGAGGTGAACCACACCCCACCCACCCTGCGTAGACAACAGGCAGGAGGCCGGTGGCTCAGCTCGGGGGCCGGTTCACGGCCCACCAACCCACTAAACCTCCGGCCCACTGGGGATTTCCCAGGTAGCCCCGAATGCCAGTCMGCCCCTGTGGAGGACCTCAGTTTAGCCTGTTAGTTTGTCACGCTAGCGCCGAGCTAATACATATAAGGCAATATAGCATTGGTGCTAATGCTAAGGCTAACAGGTTAAGCTGAGGTTCTTCTTCCATGAAGCAGCTCTGTTGTCCTCCATCCATATTTTCAGTTCCTGGCTGAGTCATTTCTACTTCT